CCCCCCCCCCCCCCAGTTCTCTGCCCCCGTCGTCCCCATCATCACATTCTCCCCCACAACTGCCTGTCTTGCCCCCACCTGTGTGTATTGCCCCCCCAGCCCTGTCCAGTGACCAGGTTGTCCCATCCGCCCTGCCCAGGCCACGGCACAGATGGAAGGCCGCCTGGAAGAATTCCTTGCTGCTTTTGCACCCGGCGCCCGGCTGGCCCTGGCCGATGGCGTCCTGGGCTTCATCCACCACCAGATCATTGAGCTGGCCCGCGACTGCCTGGCCAAGTCTGGAGAGGCCCTCGTCACCTCCCGCTACTTCATGGAGATGCAGGAGAAGCTGGAGAGGCTGCTACAAGATGTGTGTTGCGGGGGGGGGGGGGGGGGGGGCGGGGGGGGGGTAGGGGCCCCCGGGGAGGGCGGGGCCAAGGGCCTGCAGGCGACGCCATCACCCGCCTCTCCCTAGGCCCACGAGCGCTCGGACAGTGAGGAGGTCGGCTTCATTGTCCAGCTTGTCCGGAAGCTGCTCATCATCATCTCGAGGCCGGCGAGGCTCCTTGAGTGCCTGGTAAGTCTCTGCACCCAGCCAGGTGTGGGGCCCAGTGGTTGAGACTAGGCCGCTAGAACCGTCCTGCTGAGATTCAAGAGACATGCCCATCGGGTGGAGTTTGGAGAGGAGCACGGGGTGCCTCCCGGCTGGGCTGGGCTCTTTTCCCCAGGGAAGTGCCAGGAGCTGAGATCTGGAGGGGAGAGTTGGAGCCACCGATAGTGAAGCTGCTTCAGACGGAGGGAACGGCACGGGCCAAGGCCTGGAGGTGGGCACAAGCCCCGCCTTACCGGCCCCTCTGCCACCCCCAGGAGTTTGACCCTGAGGAGTTTTACCACCTGCTGGAGGCTGCCGAGGGCCAGGCCCGAGAGGGCCAGGGCATCAAGACGGACCTGCCTCAGTACATCATTGGGCAGCTGGGCCTGGCTAAGGACCCCCTCGAGGGTAAGCTGACGGGAGTAGGGTGGAAAGAGAAAACCAAGGAGAGGCCGGGGCAGAGCTGTGATTCGAACCCAGAGCCGTCAACTCCACAGCTGCCATGATGTCCTTCGTCTCTCTGTGGCTCTGCCCTCAGCCACCTGTGGGGCCCACTGTGGGAAAGTGCCTGGGGTTCCTGGGTCAGCCACCTGTAAGTGGGACCTCTGACCTGCCAAGGGGTGGCTCCAAGAGGAGCCACCACTCCTCCCACGAGTCCCCAAAGTACTTTCCTGATTTCATCATCCGACTGTGGCCCAGGAGACGGACTTAGAGTCGGACAGGACAACCAACCCGTGGGCTTGACCAAGCTGGTCAAGAACTACCCCCAGACAGCAGAGTCAGGAGAACTGAGACATGGGACCCGGGGAGCGTCGAACTTGGACCTGACCTGGTCCAGGTGCGGCCATGGGAGGCTCTGGGGAAAGGTTGATGTGTAAGCGAGTCCTGGCGGATGGAGAGGTGACCAGGTACAGATCTGGGGAAGAGGGGGGGGTGAACCGGGCGGCGGGGGAGGGTGAAAGCAAAGGCCCTGAGGTGTGCGGGAAGAACAGTGAGGGGGGAAGCGACTGGAGCTGAGGAAGAAGCAAAGCTGGGAGAGGGTGGTGGGGTCAGCAGGGCTTTGCCACAGTGGCTGGCGTCTGCCCAGCATCACTGCTCCGTTAACCCTGGGACTGGGCTGCCATTGTCCCCGTTTAAGGCTGAGGCTCCAGGCAGATGAGGTCGAGCAGGGATTCAGACCTCGGCGGGCCCCAGGCCAGACCGCTTGTCGACTGGCTGTGTGGCCCCGGCTGTGCCTGGCTGTCCAATGAAGGCAGGTGGTGCTGTGGGCGGCCCCGGGGTCAGAGGAAGCAGAAAGTGGCCGGGCAGTTGGCAGCTGAGACTGTGGGGCAGGTCATCTATCCAGTGTCCCCGGCGGGGAACCTACTGAGTAAAAGAGGCTGTATTCAAACCCAGACCTCCCTCACCCGTGACACCCCATTGTCCCATCCCAGCCTTGCTCTGTGACCGTGAGACACTGTCATGGTTCAGTGCCATCATCACGGCTCATGTGCACCAGCCGCTCACTCGGGGCCGCCCCTCTGCCAAAGCCCTAGGGCCAGAAAACGGCGTGGGTGGGGGGCTCCCTCTGGGCCACACCCTCAGCTGAGGAGGATGTTAGGAGCCAAGACCCAGAGGGCCCATGTCACAGCCTGCGTTAACAGGCCCAAGGCTCGGAGCCAGGATGATGGCTGTGCCATTCAGAGGCTGGGCTTCCCACGGGTCCTTCTGGAAAGTTCCTCAGTCGTTGCTCTTACTCTGGCCTGGGTTTGGCCAAGGTCTGGACGTAGTAGGGGCTCGATGATGCAATGATGGTATCGTGGGAGCCGGTCAGGGAGGCACTACGTCCCCAGGATGAGCCCTGGAGGCCTTGGGAAATCTCTGGGCGATCGAGGCACAGGCACGGAGGCATCATTTGAGGCTCCTCCCTTGTCTCACAGAAATGGTGCCTCTGAGTCACCTTGAAGAGGGAGGACAGCCTCCAGCACCTGAGTCCCCGGAGGTAAGTCACAGAGCTTTGACGCCCCCACCTGTCGGGTTCTTTTCAAGGTAGATCAGGCAGCCGTGGGAGGGGCTGGGTGTGCGGACGTGTTGCATGTAGTAGCTGCTTAGTAAATGCCTGTGACTTGAGGGAGAAGGTAGAGGCGAGTGCCCTGCCCTGGCGGTTGAACAGGGCAAGGCTGGAGGGGATACTGGAAAGGGGCGTTTTGGAAGATGTCTAGGAGTTTTCTGGAAGGAGGACGTGGCTCCAGCCAAAGCTCAGAAACTCAGAAGCTGAGTTTGAGACGTCTAGAAGGAGAAAGTAGCATCAGATGTCGGGACCAGTGGCTGGGACTTGAAGGCAGGAAGAGCCCGACCTGCTCTGAGGTGGGGCAGGACCCTGACCCTTCTTTGCCCCCTAGAGCCGTGCCCTGGTCGGCCCATCGCGGAGGAAGCCGTGTGAGAATGACTTCGAGACCATCAAACTCATTAGCAACGGGGCCTACGGGTAAGTCCTCGGGTCCCCCATGGACTGATTTCTCAGCCGCCCACGGGGATGCCTGAGGTCCAGCGGCCCCTGAACGTGCAGTCCGGGAAGCTGAGGCCTGAAGAGGGCAGTAGAGACACAGTACAGCCAGGCCAGGGTCTCAGACAGGCTCCGCCGCGGTCTAGGCCATTACCTGCCCCAGGTGTAGGGAGTTCTAGGTATACAAGGAAAAAGATGGCCCCGTGGTGGCGGTAGTGAGCAGTGAGCGTTATTTTGGTGCCACTTTGACAGGTCCGCGTGGGGCTGGGGTGGGAGGGGGAGTCGTTCACAGGATAAGACTATCCAGAAGGGGCTTCTGCGTCTAGGTGATGTGGCTCAGCAGCACTGCCAGGAGTCTGGGTCAGGGAGCTCCAAGAGGGAGCAGTGGCTTGGGGTCTTTTTAGCCCCACGGTTCACCTTACGGATGGCTAGTAAATTTGGTATCGTTTCACTACGGATGCAAAGCTGGCAAGCTCTCAACGGTTAAAAATCTGCTTATTTGGGCCCTATTTAAAGCACTTTGAGTTTGGTGCCAGGGGGCTTTTGACTGCAGGGGTCTCAGTCTGCCGTGAAGACATAAGCCAAGGGCCATCTCTGTCATATCGATGTGACACCAAGAAAGGCAGCTTAAACCCGTAGGGTGGCTGCTTTTGGAGAGGGGCCAGGTAAGGAGAAAGGGTGTCCCGGCTGTAGGGCGCAGCGCGGGCAGAGGCCTGGCAGGTTGGGTTCTGGGCCCAGGTCGGGGCCCGTTGCCTGCCCGGGCCTCGGTCTCAAGCCTCGGCGAACCCGGCTCCCCCAGGGCTGTCTACCTGGTGCGGCACCGAGACACACGGCAGCGCTTTGCCATCAAGAAGATCAACAAGCAGAACCTGATTCTGCGCAACCAGATCCAGCAGGTCTTTGTGGAGCGTGACATCCTCACCTTTGCCGAGAACCCGTTTGTGGTCAGCATGTTCTGCTCCTTCGAGACCCGTCGCCACTTGTGTATGGTCATGGAGTATGTGGAAGGTGCGGTCACTAGGGCTTGCATGCCTCCAGTGACGGGGAGCTCACCACCTACCCAGAAGAAAGTCCCTCCTTTGACCAAGCTAGGGTCTGCTCCGGCCTCCCTGGGGTCCCAGCCTGCCTGCCTTGGGAGCTCCTCAGTCTGCGGTGGGGGGGTCCAACCTGGGCAGTTGGGGCTGAGGGAGTCCAAAGAGGTGTGTGAGGGTGGGACCCAGACATCCTGGGGGGGGGGGGGTACCAGTGAGCAGAGGCCTGAGGGCCAGAAGTAAGAGCAAGGACGGAGGGAGGGCGGGAGGTGTGGGTTGGAAGGGCCAGGATGATTGGGGGCCAGGGAGAAGAGTTGTTGGATCAGGTTTGCAGGTAAAGAATGAGCAGGGCCTTCAGGTGGTGCAGGGGTGTGCACTGTTCAAGGTCCTTCTAGGCAAGGAGGGGGAACGAGCACTTAGGAGGCACCGGCTGTGTACAGGGTAAGGAACCGTGTCCTCGCAGGGCTGCTGCCCTGCCAAGGGAGAATCAGGAATCTGGATCTGCCCTCCCTCCTGCCCTTCTTGGTTCCCTGCCTTGGTTTGGTATAGACCAGGGATGCTTTGCAGGAGAGTGGGGGGGGGGTCTCATAAGCCTGGAGCAAGGCTCTAGAGCCCAGGGCCTCTGAACGCATCTGTCCCCCAACAGGTGGTGATTGTGCTACACTTCTGAAGAACATGGGCCCACTGCCCGTGGACATGGCCCGCATGTACTTCGCCGAGACAGTCCTGGCACTGGAGTACTTGCACAACTACGGCATAGTGCACCGGGACCTCAAGCCTGACAAGTGAGCAGCCTGGGGCTTTGGGAGCGGGGCCTCTGATTGGGGTCTGGGGCTGCTCAGAGCTGCCCGCCTATCCAGGTCCTGCTGGCCCATGGGCCCCTGGCAGCAGGAAGACAGGGAGCAGTGGCAACTTTGGGCACCTGGTGTATACAGAGGAGGACAGGTCCTTAAGAGGCACCTGCTATATGCGAGGGGAGGATAGTTGTATTTATGGAGATGCGGTCAGGCAAAGAGAGAATGTGCACTTTAGGGTGCACACAACGCACAGGGGAAGGGACTGTGCACTCACAGAGTTACCGCGGCACAAGAGGAGAGAACGTGCACTTAGGAGGCACCGGCTGTATACAGGGAACAGGGACATGCCCTTTGCAAGACCTTCTGTGTGAAGAAAGGGACTGTGCATGTCTTGAGCACCTGTTGTGTGTTTGTGCAGGGACGACAGGAAGAGATGTTCATTGAGAGCCTTGGGAAGTTTATTTTGCTCTGGCACCTAATAAGCACCTACTGCATGCCAGGTCCTCTGTGGGCGACCGTGAGACATGTGTGTGAATAATCCATCGTGCTTTATAACCCCTACATAACTTGCAAGGCACTCTCCCCTGCATTAATTGAGCACCTGCTGTTTATAGAGCAAGGGGCTACTCTTGATATCAAGTGCCGTCTGGATACCAGGCAAGGAGCTCGAGTTTCTTAGGTTCTTGCTGCATGGGGGTGTGAACATCAGCATTAAGAGCCTGCACGTTTTCAGGCGTCTTGTAGTTTGCCAGCGGCTTAGAAAATAAAGTGTGTATTTGGCACCTACCATGTACCTGGGCCTCTGTGCGCAACACTTGTCAATATGCTCTGTGCCGTCAGGTCTGTGGATCATCCTAGAGTGGGGTGGGGTCTCCTGAGTGACCCCAAGGCAGCACCTGCCCCTCCCAGGCTCGGGACCCCCATCCGCAAAGTGGCACAGGCCGGTGCCCAGCCCCAGAGGGTTCAGGGAGACAGGCGCACACGATAGACACGCGCGAGAGAGATTTTCGCCTTTCACTTTGGAAAGTTCCAAATACATCCCAAAGTCAAGAGAAGGCGCATATTCATTCACTGGGGCTGTCAGAGCAAAGTAGCACAGAACTGGGCGGCTTAAACAATAGAAGTTTATTCTCACAGTTCTGGAGGCCAGAAGTCCAAGATCGAGGTAGCAGCAGGGCTCTCTCTGAAGTCCCCAGGGAAGGATCTCTTCCAGGACCCTCCCCCAGCTTCTGGTGATTTCTTGGCTTGTGGCGACATTGCCCCGCTCTTCACATGGCGTCCTCCCTCTGCATGCCTGGGTCCAAATGCCGTTCCTGTAAGGACACCAGTCATACTGGATGAGGGGTCACTGTACTCAGGGACGTCCTCCTCTTAACTAATCACACAACAATCCCGTCTCCAAATAAGGTCACGTTTGTAGTCACCAGAGGTCCGGACGTCAACATGTGACTTTGGAGGTACATAACTCAGCCCAGAACAGAAGGAAGGGTCCAGTGCCCCCCCCCCCCGTCCACTCCCCACGTTCAACCCGTTTCCACAGCTTCCAACGCTTGGCCAATCCTGCTTCCTCCCCATCCCTGGGTCCCCCCACCCCCCATGCCGGGCAATTTGAAGCATATCCCAGGCATCGGATCATTTCATTATCATTTCATTTGTAAGAAGGAAAGGGTTTTTTTGTTTTTTTTTTAACGTTTACCTATTTTTTAGAGAGAGAGAGAGTGCGCGAGCAGGGGAGGGGCAGAGAGAGAGGAAACAGAATCCAAAGCAGGCTCCAGGCTCCAAGCGGTCAGCACAGAGCCCGACGCGGGGCTCGAACCCACAAACCGTGAGATCATGACCTGAGCCAACCTTGGACACTTAACCCACTGAGCCACCACGGCACCCCCAGAACTTTTTAAAGACAGTGGGTGCACAGAATCGTTCCTTTAGAGAGTCCGTGGATGCAGTTCTGTGCCAAGTAAACGGTTTATCAAACCACTTGGCTATACGCAGCTCTCCAGAAGTTAAGCAGCCGAGGTACCAGGAGGTGCGCGAAACCGCGACTTTCTAAAGGTGGTGTGTATGCTTCTGTCATCCGGCAAGGCGTTTATATCCTTGAGCCGACGGGAAAACTAGAACAGCAGGGTGCATGGGAGGTGTACAAGGTTTTAAAAACGGGTGCCCTTAGGAGGTGCACAGAAATATTTCTGTATACAGCAGCTGCTCGAGGTATGTTCGTTTTTCGACAGGAAACGTAAATAACGAGGGCTTGCAAAGAAAGCATTTAGCGAAAACAAAAAATGGCCACGTGTGCAAAAATATACTGTGGGTTTCAGACGTTTTCATGCACAGCGGGGAGATGGTATGATTCTCGGGAGATGTAAATTCCAACAGCGGAGTAGACAGTAGGTGCTCAGTAGCGACACCAGATGCATCCGGTGGGTGCACCGAGACGTTTGCCAGATTGGCAGTATTGCCCAAGACCTGTCGGTCCTCGTGATGACGTGCCCACGCTCAGGAAGTGCTTTCCGACCCCCTCGGGGGAGTTAAGCCGCCCTGGCTGGACCTCAGCCCACCTGGGGTGGCACCAGGTTCCGGGGCGGCATGAGAAGCCAGGCACCTCGGGCCCCCCAGCCCTGAGTGCACCACCCGCCCACCCACAGCCTGCTCATCACCTCACTTGGCCACATCAAGCTGACCGACTTCGGCCTGTCCAAGATTGGGCTCATGAGCATGGCCACCAACCTCTATGAGGGCCACATCGAGAAGGACACCCGGGAGTTCGTGGACAAGCAGGTGTGCGGGTGGGCAGGCGGCCCTGGGTGCGGGGCCGCCCCCCTCTATCTGGATCCTGACCCTCAGGACGCGGGGAGACTTTGCAGCATGAAGGAGAAAATAAACCGCACCCCCCCGCCCCCCGCCCCGTAATTCTCTCCACCCCCCGTTCCCAGCCTGGCCTTGGCCTCTCCGTCCCCCTCGTGGTCTCTCTGGAGTCGGAGGCCATCCTCCTGTTCCCCATTCTGCCTGACCCAGGTGTGCGGGACCCCTGAGTACATCGCGCCCGAGGTGATCTTCCGCCAGGGCTACGGGAAGCCGGTGGACTGGTGGGCCATGGGTGTCGTCCTCTATGAATTCCTGGTGGGCTGTGTGCCCTTCTTCGGAGACACCCCCGAGGAACTCTTCGGCCAGGTGGTCAGTGGTGCGTTTCCCCCACCGTGGCCCCGGTTCGAGTCTTGGCCGCCCTGGGGCTCTGGGCAGCAGTTTCCCTACCGAAGGGAGCAGCTATGTGTGTGGATTGGGCACGTGTCGTGCGCCTGGCCCCAGCTGGACACTGGGGACATGGCCAAGGGCGAGACAGCAGGGGAGAGAAATACGCAAGTTAGGGAACATCAGATACAAAAAAAAGTGCCCAGGAAAAGAAGCAGGAAGAGGGGAGGGGATAGGGTACCAGAGGTGGTGGGGGTGGGGGCTTGGGGGGGGGGGCTGCATTAAATAGAGGGTCATGGAGGCCTCACCAAGGTGACGGTGTGAGTAAAGACCTGAAGGAGCAGCAGGGAGTCCCTAAAGTAGAAGAGGGGAAGGTGTTCTGGGCAGAGGGTGCAGCCACAGCAAAGGCTGTGTATGAGGTGGGACCGAGCCTGGTGTGTTGATGGAATAGAAGAGGCTGATGGCTTAGAGTACAGTGAGTGAGGGGAGGTGGTTGGAGGTGCTATGAAGGGCTGTCCTCACCCTCTCACTCTCTTTTATTTTATTTTACGTTTATTATTATTTTTTTAATTTGACTTGATTTATTTTTCCCTCTTCTCATTTTAGATGAGATCATGTGGCCCGAAGGGGATGAGGCCCTTCCAGCAGATGCCCAGGACCTCATCACCAGGCTGCTCCGACAGAGCCCACTGGACCGTCTGGGCACTGGTATGTGGACGTGGGATGGGGAGAGGCTGCCTAGAGAAGGGGGACTTGGGGCTGGGGTTTTGAAGGGCGCACAGGAGTTCACCGGGAACTAGCGTAAGACCTTGAAGGAATAGCGGGTATCTGGGTCGGATGCAGACAAGGGGCACTGAGGCTGAGTGAGAGCCTACGAGGTCACCGTGGGGTATGTCCTAAGGTCCTCAAAGGCCCAGCCCAGTGGATCCCACTGTTCAGATTCCCCAGCCACCTAATTAATGGTTAAAGGACTACTCGAGACTCACGCAGCCACTACAGGTTATGTCCATGAGGAAGCTTAGCCACTGGAGAGGACCACAGGGGCTGAGGTTGGGGAACAGGATCCCTTCACGCAGTCAGCTCTCTGCTCCGTGGAGTAGAAATGCATAGAAAAGGCTGGAAAGAAAGCCCTCCTAGGGCTTTGGGATCTCAGAATCCAGCAGAGGAAAGAGCAGGGCCTGGGGGCTAGCCCCAATTCTGTCTGTCTTCAGGCTCTTAAACAGCGGCTGTTCCCCTCGCCATCTTTATGGCTCTGTGTTGGCCAGGTTGGGGCTCAAATTTGGCCCAGGGGGCAGTGGGGGACAGGGACACGCAGGGCTGAGCCAGGCATGTGTTGGCAGGTGGCACCCACGAGGTAAAACAGCACCCCTTCTTCCGAACACTGGACTGGGCAGGGCTTCTGCGACACAAAGCTGAGTTCGTGCCACAGCTCGAAGCTGAGGATGACACCAGCTACTTTGACAGTAAGTGGGGGGGGGGGGGTGTCAAGGGGGGGGGCTCTGCTATCCCACAAGCCCCTGAGGCGGGGAG